AAAGCTATTGTAATGTTTTATCTTTTTGTAAGGCCATCCATGAGGTGGATTGATTCAGTGACTGGGGTAATTGGGAAGGGTGTGTCAGAGACAATGCCATTGGTATAGGACAGAGCAGAGTTTAGGGCTGTTGTACATAGGGTTGCTATGAGTCGCAAGCGTCTTGATGGCATGTAACAACAACATCTATCATTTATCTGTTTACTTATTTTTATGATGTATCTGGCAGGATTTATTGTGGTCCCAGTCACCCTTTTGTTGCTGATTTCAGTGAGCTGTTGAATAGATGTGAAGTTAACAGTAATCATGCTAGAGCTGCCCTGGTGTTGTTGTTGTTGTTATGTGCCGTCGAGTCGCCTACGACTCATAGCAACCCTATGTACAACAGCCCTAAACTCCGCTCTGTCCTGTGCCAATCGCACCGTCTCTGACACTCCCATCCCAATTAACCCAGTCACTGAATCAATCCACCTCATAGAGGGCCTTCCTCTCCTGTGCTGTCCCTCCACCCTCCCAAGCATGATGTCCCTCTCCAAGGACTGGTCTCTCCTCACAACATGTCCAAAGAATGTTAGACGGAGCCTCAGAATCCTTGCCTCCAAGGAGCCACCTGGTTCAACCCTTTCCAGGACAAATCTGTTTGTTTTCCTAGCAGTCCATGGTATTCTCAATACTCTTCTCCAGCACCACAGCTCAACGGCATCAATTCTCCTTCTATCCTCCTTGGTCATTGTCCAACTCTGATGCATAACAAGTGATTGGGAAGACCAAAGCCTGTATCAGATGCACCTTAGTCTCCAGAGAGACACCATTGCTCTTCAGTACTTTGGAGAGGTCCCTAACAGCAGACTTTCCCGTGGCAATGCGCCTTTTGATTTCCTAGCTGCTGGTGCCAAGAATGTTGACTATGGAGCCAAGCAAACTAAAGCTGTGTACAATCTCAATCTCTTCACCATCCATCCTGATGCTGCCAATTGGTCCAGTGGTGAGAATCTTTGTCTTCTTGACATTGAGCCTCAATCCATATTGTAGGCTGCTGCCCTGGTAGGCTGTGGAAATGGATAGTAATTAGAGAGTGCTTGGGTAAATGCCCACCCCTTGTCATCTTTAGGTTCCAAAGTATTTAGTATATTTGGACAGTTTTTTTTCCAGTGTAGGTATCAGTGGACCAAAGAAAAGTATAGATGAAAAATGGCTGTTAGACATTTCACAGGGTACCTCTCAAAGCGCTGGGAGCTGAGATGCTAAAAATGTAATTACGCTATAATTGGGAGTGGCAGGGAGTGATGAGAGTGGAAGTACTGGTGCCACGGAGAAGAGAATATGTAGCTTTAAATATAACGATTTTTCTTTCTCCTGGATGATTTAAAGAGGAGCTAATCTCATCAATCCTCCAACGACTCAGGGGCATGCATCATTGACTTTAAACTTGGCTCCAGAGAGCCCAGCCAGCAGTTCCTTCTCTTCAGACTAAGTCTTATGTGTTACTATATATCTTACTCATCAGGGTGACATTCCTAACCATGACATTACAAGGAAAGAGCTTGGAACGTGGCTTGCCTTTGGCCAGGTTGTTTTACATATAGTGGACTAATTCTTTCCTCATCTAAGTGTTATCTGTCTATTCCTGCTCTTATTTTTAAAATGAGAAATGCTATTTGAAGTGTACAGTTGGGTGTGAATAGCATTGGCTTCTATTTTCATCTCTTAACTTCTCTAAATGATGTGAAAAGCAGTGCTCTTCAGCATAAGTTACACAAACTCTTGTGATGAACCAAATGTTCATATATTGGAGAAAATAAAAGAACTTGTTTTAATTAATTTTTCTAATCCATTTCATTTGAGTGTTTTATTTATGGACGTCACTGATAATACAATGTTGTTGTTGTTGTTTTTGTTGTTGTGTGTCATCAAGTCGGAATTGACTCATAGCTTATCTCCAGGGGGTTTGCATTAATTACCACCACTCTGGGTAGATGCTGAATGCTTTTATATTTTCATGACTTTCTTTGTACAAAGGAACCATGGTGGTACAATAGTTAAGAATTTGGCTACTATGTGAAAGATGTACAGTTTGAACCTCCTACCAGCTCCACAGGGAAAAACAAAACTAAACCTGACATCATGTTCCTGTCCAGATACTAGTCTAAGAAACTATGAAGTGGTTTTTCTCTGTCCTGTAAGGTTGCTATCGATTGAAATCAGCTCAGTGGCAAACAATATGTTCCAGTGTGTGGTCTTTCTAATGCTTTCGAATATTCTTTCCCTTCTTCCTGCTTGATTGGCCTCATTCTAACTTTCAAGTGCTTTGAAGCTCTTATTTACTTTAGGCAGAATTACTTGCTGTCTTCTTGCACTCTTACAACACTTTTGCTGCGTCACTTTTTCAGCATGTGTGACATTTTGTTGTAGCTGGTTGAGTAGAGATTTTCTTGGTGGCTGGATTGTGTCGCTAGAGGAATAAGAGCTGCTCTTACTCATGTCTTAATTCCCAAAGCTGACGGTGCTGTCTAGTGTTTAATCATTAATTGTCATCTAGTTCATTTCAATTCATGTCAACACTGTGTATAAGAGAGTAGAATGGCACCCTGTAGTGTTTTCCATGGTCTCTGGGCCTTTCTTCCAAGGATCCTCTGGGTGAACTTGAAACCCAGCCTTTTGGTTACTAGATGAGCAAGTTTACATTCCCCAGAGATGACTCTTCTTATCACTTGTTGTTGTTATGTGCCATCCAGTCGACTGCGACTCATGTAGCTCTGAACCCTGCCCTATCCTGAGCCAGCCTTATTTAGTAAGCATCGAATACTTATTGAATGAATTGAAGTATTTATGAGTGTCTCCTTGAAATTTATTTATAATGTGAAAAACATAAAAATAGCTGCAATTTAGATACTTGGTAGGCAGAATGTGCTAATATGTATTTTTGTAGCTCATGATTTTTTTTTCTTTTTAGCAAGGGGAAAGTATTCATTTAAAAATACCCTGAGCTATTGCCATCAAGTCGTATCTAACTCATATCTGATCCTCCATTGGGTTTCTGAGGCTTGAAGTCACACAGGATGAGATTGCTCATCTCTTCTGATTGAGCAGCTGGGGAAATCCAACCACTAGAAAGGTGTGGACTTTAGTTACCAGTGTAGCTCTCTATGGACCAGCCACCAGGGCTCCCTAGTGTCTTCATAAGAGTTTTAATTGATTAATTTTTTTAGATTGTGAATATAAAGCATTATAGAATATTTTGGATGAATACATTAATTGTGTTAGGAAAAAAATAATATTGCCTTTAATGTTACCCCTTGGAGAAGACAGACATTTTGTTTATGTTTATTTCTTTAAAAATGATAGTTGTAAATATTCATGAATATTTTTCATATTTTCCCCCCAGTTACATTCATTGACTATGTAATATGAATGCACACTTAGAATGTTATATCTATTTTTAAAATTTAATGTTTACTATATTTCTAATGTTATTCAGTATAAGATTTAATTTTTTAAAATTTTTATTTTATTATTTTGTGTGTGTGTGTACCATCGGATCAGATCTGACAGGCACAGGGGGAGATTGCTCCTCCTTCTCCAGCAGAGCATCTGATGGATTCGAACCTTGCACCTTTGGTATTACAGTGCAACTTCTTGCCAGTAGTCCACGAGAGGTCCCTTCGATTTTTTTTTAAATAGTACCAGAATATTCTTAAAGGTTTTTGGCATGCCACATGTAGATATGACGCAGTATTAAACATTCCCCCAGTGTAAAACCTGATTCTAGTAATGTTATGCTCTTCAGTTTCTGAGAATGACTTTATCTGTGACTCAGGCCTGCTATAGTCTAAACCAAATCAAATGACAGAATAGAATAAAGAGTAAAGAGTAAAGAGGTTCAAGGTATTGTTCCTACTTGACATTAAATCCAAGAAATGAGATGAGAATGATTTATGTTCAGCCTCTAAATGAATGGTTGGTAGTTTGAATCTGTGTATCAGTACCATGCAAGAAATGCTTGCCAGTCTGCTTCCATAAGAGTAAAACCCAAAACCAAATTATATTTATTCAGTTAATTCCAATTCTTAGTGACTCTGTGTGGTATAGAGTAGAATGACTCCATAAGGTTTTCTTGACTGGAATCTTGTCAGGAGGGCTACAGTTGAGTTTAAGCCACCAACCTTTAGGTTAGTCAGATACAACACATTTTTGTTGCCCAAGGATCTTGCAGTAAGACTGTAAATCTTTTATGTAGTTTTCTGAAATATGTCAGATTGCAATGAGTTAGAATCAGAAACTAGTATGTAATTATGTTTTTCTCCTTAGAGAAAGTAGGTTCTCCAAGAAAACATCAATATACTTCTCTTTGCCCTTTGAAAATAAGAATCAGAGTCCCTGGAGAAAATGGCTGAAACTTTTAAGAATCTGGCTTATATTTGTCCTGAAGACCTGTCTTGTTGGTAGTGTTGTGGTTGTGTGCTGTTAAATCAGTTCTAACAGTATTGACTCTATAATTTCCCCACAGGCTTTCTTAAGCCTGTCAATGGTCACAGGAGCAGATTGCCTTTTCTGCTATAAAGTGGCTAGTGGATTTTAACTGCTGACCTTTTGCTTTACAACTGAGAGTTTAAATATTACATCCATAGGATTCCTGGCAATATTTGTCTTAGCAAATTTAACTGTTATCTGGTTGGTGTTCAAAGTAGTTTTAGCTGGGTGTTGTGTTTGTAAATAACACATTAATGTATAAATCTGGATTATGAATTAAAAATAAAGTGCTGCTATGATGGCCTAGTGGCAAGAAGCTGCACTGCAGTTCTCAAGGCACATGATTCAAGGCCACCAGCTGTGGGGAGAAGGAAGACTGTCTCCTTTCGTACGATTTAACTGTCTTTGAAAACCTGCTGGAAGGTCAGCTATAGGTTGGTCCCGACTCTGCAGTACACAATGATAACAACCACATGGCTGTTGCAGACTCCTGCAACTAGTTTCATGACACTTTTTATTTCTTCTCCTAGGGACCTAATACCCATCATTGCTGCTCTGGAATATAATCAGTGGTTCACAAAGCTGTCCTCAAAGGATCTAAAACTGGTAAGTAACTGAGGCTGCAGAAGTGTTGCTTAGTTATGGTGAATTTCTAAGGCATGATAATTGAGGTGAAAAATTAAAAACATTTACTATTCACTATACTAGCAAACTGCACACAGTTTTTTCTTTTTCCCTTTAGGAGACATTTTCCTATAAATGAGTTACGTATAATTTTGTAAAGTTTGTAATGTGAGATGCTTCAGAGAAGTACTTCCTCATGTTTTCAGCTGCTCTGGGCAATTTTAGAAGATGAACAGGGAGATAGATTCAGCACAGCCCTCAGTATGCACTTACTCAGTTGGCAAAAATGATTAAAGTCACATTTGCACAGCTGCAAATAGCAGATTTTATGTTCCTTTCTTACATTTTATCTCCACAAAGTTTGGTTTGGGGTTCCCCTGCTACCCCGCCAATGATTTAGGATCACAGTAACAGGTAGAGTTGATCTGGCTGAGTTGTGACAATTAATGTTAATTTTCTGAGTTTGGGGGCAGATTTCTGTGTGAGTAGAATGAAATCACAGAGAAATCTGTTAAATATCTGGTTTGTTTTACTGGTGGAAATGAAATGCTCTGTTGGGGATTTTGTAAGTTCAAAGCAACCATATGGGTAGATGCTTATCCGTGAGTTAGCCTTCTCTTGTTTCATTTTAGGATGGGAAATAATTTAGATGATTTGTGGAGACCTTTACAATCAAGAATTCTGCTTTCACAGGCCATTGAATCAGAGTGTTTAAGAGTCACAATGAGAAGTTGGGATTTGGATTGAGACATGCATCTGTAGACAGCAGATAGTGGTGTTTAATTAAAGATAGGTTACTGGTTCTCTAAATTTACCAGCAGTGCGTATCTTAAGTAATTATCAGTAAAAATAAAGGCCAATTACATTTGGAGTCCAGTAGGAGCTTGTGTGCTTTATAGTGAGAAGAACATAGATTTTAATTCAGAAACTTGGTTTCTGAATCTGCTTCTTATATGGCAAGGCTGTGTTACCTTGAAATAGTTACTTGACCTCTCTGGGCTTCAATTTTGTTGTGGTTGTTATTGCTTTGATTTTGATTCATTGATATTTCATATGTGGAGTAGAACTTTTCCTTAGAATTTTCTAGACTCTTTGATGTTTTGGAAGTAGAGCACCAGGCCTGTTTGCAAAGGAGTCTCAGGCTAGGTTCAAACAACCAATATTTTGGCTCCTAGTTGATCCATTAACCATTTGCTCCACCCAGAAACTCCTGAGCACCTGTGTGTGCTAGATGGACCAAGTTGGTGAGATGAAGCCTGTTTCTTCAGTTATATCCAGTTATATAGGCCTCCATCAGATAGCCAAACAGATAAACAAAACCAGACACAAAAGAGACACTGGTATCAAGTTGAAGAGCTCTAGCAGCTTAGTCTGTAGCAGTTTGCATTGTTAACTGCATCTCCAGCAATTCTAATATACTAGCAACTCTAAGGAAGAAAAAGAGGTAGTCTTCTTGTTCTAAGCTTTACAGTCTCCAAAATCCTATGAGATTTGTTATGAGAATCTATTTAATGACAGTGAGTTTGAATTTGTTTATTTTAAACCATCCAATTAATTCTAAGTCAGCAACTCTATAGGATAAATTCTATAGTTCCCAAGGCTGTAAATCTTTAGGGAAGCGAGCTACTAAATTTTTCTCCCATGGTAGGTTCGAACTGACAGTCTTTTCATTAACAACCAAATACTTTAACCACTGGACCTCCAGAGCTTGCCCTTCCAGTTGGTCACACACTCTAAAAGTGGGATAAAATAATGTCGATTGGCAGTGTATGTATCATGAGTCACCAAAGGGTTAATACATAACCTGTTGCTGTTGAGTTTATTTCAGCTCATGGTGACCCCGTGTGTTACAGAGAAGAATTGCAGAGGCTTCTCTTGGTTTTGATCATTACAGAATTATGTGGCCTCTAGTTGACTATAACTCAGAGCAACCCTGTGAACGTCAGATCTGAACCTTGTCCTGTCCTGTGCCATCATCAGGATCTGCTCCATACTCCAGCCCATTGTTTTGGTCACTGTACATGGCACCACTGGATGGAGTAAAGCCAACAACCTTTAAATTAGTTTAACTGTTAGTATGGAAACAATTCTAACCCATATTAATCTTGTAGGACACAATGGATCTGTCCTTTGGGCTTTAAGACTGTAGTCACGAGGGGAATAGACTGCTACTACTTAGAAATATGAATGATGTAGAAAAATTTCTAAGCCAATATCTGCTATATATGCAAGGCATTTTATCATTGGTAATGGCTATTATTGTCATCATTACAGTTGGACTAGCACAGAGATTTGGGAAGGAGCAAGTATAAGAGTGTGGATTATAGAAAACTATAGTGGCTAAACAGATGTAAGGTCAATGAGTAGAAAGTAGGGAGATCCTCACAGGTAAGAGCCAAGTGATCACGCAGGTGGGTAACTGACATGTATCTGGGAAGGGAGAGTTGGGGACAAAACCCACATGCTTGCTCTTTACTAGGGTGAGAACCATTTTCAGGGCAAAGCTAGATCATGACCCAGCAAAGCCATTCTAGGAATGAGATGGATTAGCCCAGGGATTGGAGAATCATGGGAAACAAAACATCTCTACTAGATCAGTTTTCCTGGCTACTGTCAACATTCGCTGAAGTCAGTGATTCTCAAAATAGGACCCAAGTGGACTCTGAGGAGGTTGTGATGATCCTGGCTTTGGAAACTAGTGGATCATTCATTAGTCTGAGAATATGTCCCATGATTGATAGTGCCATTCTGCCCTTATTCCTCCCTGACTTCATCACCTGATTTAGGTGTTAAGGAAAGAAGACTGAGGTTTCAGCAGAAAAATTCTCTTAACCCAAAGGTTCAAATCAACTAGCTGCTTCAAAGGAGAAAGATGGGCAGACTCCTCACATGTGATTTACAGCCTGGCTGAGGTGTGAAGGGGGGTGGAAATCCAATGGATGGATCATTCTTTATTGGTTTTTTGTTACCTGAGGTTTCAAAAGAAAAATTCTACTAACCCAAAGGTTCAAATCAACTAGCTGCTTCAAAGGAGAAAAATGGGCAGTCTGCTCCCATGTGATTTACAGCCTCAGAAAACCTGATGGACGGTCAGCTGTAAATCGGTTCTTACTTGATCACAAGGAGTTATTTTAGAGCTGTGTGCATCATTAATGTTTAGTATGAAATGGAAAATAGTATTTGGTATACTATACTATAAGTCGTTCAAAAAATAATTATCTTTGTGTTTTTTTTCTATCCAAACTTAAAAAGGATGAAACTTTGCTCTTTGCTAGGTGCTGTAGTAGGATTGTCTCAGACATTTCAAGCATTGTTTCCATTTGGAAAAAAGGCAACATCAGGAAGTATGCCCTCTTGGGATTCTTAGAACATAAAGAAGTACATGACAAAAAAAAAAAAAGATTCTTCGTAGCTTCTATTAGCTCAGTAAAAGCGCCCCCATCCTAGAGTGGCACAATAAAAATACTAAGTACATGCTTAAAGCTGAGTTTATGGAGCTTATTTTCATCTTCTCCTCTGCTTCCATGGTCTATTGAATATCACATTTTCCCCCCAAAGATGTCAGACATGAGATTAGAATTGATTCTAACATTCTTGATCTTGTCTAGCTCTTTCCATTTTTGTAGTTTAGACAAATCCACAGACAGTGTTGTATATTTTAAAAAAAATGTTTTATAATGGAATGTAGTTGGACCAATTAATGTGTATGGTTCATTTTAATTCTAAAATTCCATATTTTGGACCAAATAATGTTTGTTTCCTTTTAATTTAAAAATTACATACTTATCTTATTTTGCTCAAAGTAATCTTCTTTTCATTTTTGGTTGTATGTATTTGAATTAAACCATAGGTAAGCTCCTTGAGAGATACATAATGAGCTTTTAAATTTTCTCAAATCAGTCCACGTAGTGCTAAGCTTGCAGTAGACATACATGCTCAAACAAGATTCCAAGAATTGCCTTGAATTAGTTTTTGAGGACAGAAGGATATAAATAATTCCAAAATCAGTAGTAACTAAAATGTTAAAAGAGATTGCACACCATTCTACCACTCAGGCAACTCTTTGTTTCTCATAGTTCTGAAGGCTCTGATTATTTGTAATCATCATTTTTAATTGTTCTAATCTTAAGAAACATTTTGGTTTTTTTAAATATTTTTAACATTATAATCTAAGCATTTAAGATATAGCCACAGACTTACACTTATATGTGATTATTGTTGTTATGTGCGATCCAGTCAGGCCTGATTTTGGAGCTTAGCTTCTAGTCAATTTGTAGAAGCTGTAACTTTCACAAGAGGAGGTGGCTCATCTGTCTCCTGTGGAACAGCTGGTAAATTCAAATTGCTTGTTTTGGGGTTCGCACTGCAACTCCTTACCACTAGATCACCAGAGCCCCTACACTTATATAGCTACATATTTTTTCCCCTGTAATGCTTATTAGGATTTTAGAGACCATAATTTGTTTAACTCTTTCCTTTCATTAGATCTCTTGTTTCTTATTTTACCAATCTTGAGGGGGAAAATAGTGGAAACATAAAAAATCCCCCCAAAATCTACTGCTGTCAGTTCTGACTCATGGCAACTCTTCATTGGTTTTTTGAGGATGAAAATCTATTTCTAGAAACAGGTTGCATCATCATTTCTCTCAGCAGAGGAGCTGCAAATTTGAAATACTAACCTTTTGGTTAGCCCAACACATCATACACTATGCTGTCAACTCTCCTTCACTGAAATGGTAAACTTTGCCAAATGCCTCTTCAGCTTTCTTTTTAAATTACAGCATATCTTTAAATTTTCATTTTCTCGGCTATAAAAGTAGAATAATAATAATAATAGTGATAATAATATGCTTAATTATAATATCGAATATGCAATGTATTGCCAAAAGAAAAAACAAATCTGGCTTAGAAGTGTAGCCAGGATGCTCACTGAAGCAAGGATGCTTACTTTGGGCATGTTGCCAGGAGGAGACAGTCCCTAGAGAAGGACCTCATGCTTGGAAAGGTGGATGGACATTGAGGAAGACCTTCACGGAGATGAACTGACACAGTAACTGCAACAATAGGCTTAACTAAGCATGGCAGACCTTGTGAGGGTGGTGTAGGACTGGGCGGGATTTCATTCTGTTATATATAGTGTTGCTGTCGTTTGAAGCCGACTTGACAGCACACACCTAACTGCACCAACAGTGTTTTATATTAGGGAAGATTAAAAAATAAATTCATATAAAGGACATAGTTAGATTCCTGAGTCTTTAGTTCTCCATTTGAGACATCACTTCCTCAGAGAAGGTCTTTTTGGCTTTCCCAGGATACCCCTCTGTTTACCCCTTATTAGGCATCAGGAAGACTTCAATTCATGGTATCCTTACATACAACACAACAGACTGTTGCTCGGTCCTATGTGATCCTCACAATTACGAGCATGTTCACGTTTATCTTCTCGGTTCTAGCCTGTTCCCGTGTCATTTTCTTTTCCAGTGATGAATTAAGTTCTTCCTCTATATTTCCAAAGCAAGGGAATGGCACCACATGTGACCACTGCATCACCAAAATGGTCTTTGAAGAATTTTGTCACACTTGCATAATTATGTCTTATCTCTCTTCCCCTGCTGGGTGCTCTGCTGTTGGATTCCGAGGTTTTGTCATTTTTGGCATTGTAGTCTCAGGACCTTTAAAATGATGAAATATCTTAAATAAATGCTCAGTCAAGGTCTGGTGAATGAATGAATGCATGGATGAATACTTCAATGTAAACTTTCCATCTGCCTAGATTTAGAAGAAAAAAAAGAAAAGTTTGTTTAATCCTTATGAAATGATCACAAAATGCTTTCTTTCTGTTGCAGTCCAATGATGTCTGTGAACAGATACTGAGGGTGGTGAGTAGGTCCAGTCGACTGGAAGAATTGGTGTTGGAAAACGCTGGACTTAGAACGTGAGTGTTTTCTTGAACATAGCTTTAAAAATGCTTTGGACATTTACATGTCAATTATTATATACTTTTAAAAATGAAATTGCACTCTTCAAATTTATATGTTAGTGTTTTTTCCCTTGTGAACAAACTTAAGAATTAGCTTTGTGACGCTGGGTGAGTTTTTGAAATCCTTTATGCCACAGTGTTTCTGTGTTTAAAATGGAAGCAATCTTTGTATCCACCTTACAGAACAGAAGTAGAGTCATTAGGATAAATGACTGGGTGGATATATGAAAAGTGCTTAGAAAAATGTCATCTTCATCGTTTGTAGTTTTAGTGGTAACATATTTCACATGATTTTGTAGCTTTGCTTTGATCTACATTGATCTTTCTTTTTTCAATTAACACACAGTTGTCATCTCATGGTTCAGTAGTTACTAGTCAAGCTTTGAGTTGGGGCATGTGAGTTTGAGTGTGCTATCATAAAGACTTTACTGCCTATTGTGTGAGGAGAGTTAACGATTTAATAGTCACAGCACTTAGTAGGCTATGTAAAGCTAAACATAATGGAAATAGTGATTTTGGTTTTTGTGGAAATATATAGTGTTAGCAATTGTAGCTATTATCAGATAACCAGAGCAATCTGCTTTATATTCATAGTGTTTTGTGAAGTAAAAACTAAGGTAAAGTGAACAACCTACTGCTTTTTCATGAAAAGCAGCAGCAGCCTTAATTCAGGATTTTTTTATCTTTTTTTTTTTAAATCTTTGGAGACCCAAATATTACACCATCCAACCACTTTGGAAAAATTGTTAGGCAGATACTTGACAGTGACAGTTACATGTTTTCTTTTTCGTTTTGAATGCAATTGTGGCCCAATTGGCCTTCTAGATTCTCTTACAATAAACATGCATGTGTAATATAGATCAGGTGCTAACAAATATATGATATATAAATTAATGTTGTAAGAAACATTTCTCTCTTACAAGTCTTATTTTTTTAATTTCAACAGTTTTACATTTTGTACTATTTGATCCTATTGTGCTGTTTACTTGCAGAGATTTTGCTCAGAAACTGGCTAGTGCTCTAGCGCATAATCCCAACTCAGGACTCCACACGATTAACCTTGCTGGCAACTCACTGGAGGATAGAGGTACTGTGTCATTCATATTAGCATGGATGCCTGAGATATCCGAGGACTATCAGACTTCCTGCCCTCTGGCCAATTCTAACTCATAGTGACCTTACAGGACAGAGAAGACCTGCCCCTCAGGTTTCCAAGGCTATCAAGCTTTATGGAAGCAAACAGCTACCTTTTCTCTAGCAGAACCACTGTGGACTTTGAACTGCTGGCCTTTGGGTTAGCAATTAATTACTTTAGCCACTGTGCCATCAGGGCTTCTTACAGTAGGATTCATGAATTATAATGTAGGCATCCCTCAGTGGAACTGACAAGCTAAGTTGTAATTATGTAATTAATATTATTGATGCTCTTATTAGCTTCTGTTTTGTTTCTTTTTAATTTTTTAATGTGATTTTAGTGGAAGTTTACAGAGTTTTCCATTCAATCATGTGTGTACATTTTGCTGACGTTGGTTACAGTTGCCCCATTGTCATAGTGTAGTATTACAATGCTAGTTCATTTCTTTCCTGTGAGTCTTCCTTTCATTTATCCTTCCTTCCTGTCTCTTCCTGGTTTTTTTTTTTTTAGCTTTATTCTTGGGCAAATGTTGTCTCTGTGATCTTATTTGGTTGATTATTCTTAAGAGTACTTCCCTGGTATTATTGTTTACCTTGTAAGTCTGTATATTGTTGGGTTCAAAAGTAAGGCCTTGGGGGTGATTTTCATCACAGGATTTTGAGTTTTAGTGGTAGCTGGGCACCACCTGGTCTGATTCTGTCTCAGGGTCATGGAAGTTGTAGTTCATGACATTTGTTCTTTGCTCCTTTTCATGAAAATATTCATGCTAAAACTTTGTTATCACATTAACACTTTTTGAAGTGTTTCAAAGGAAGATAAATTTTTTAAAACTAAACATGTTAATTATGTATTTTAGTGTTACAAGTTACGACATACTTAGCAGCTTCAAGCAACACAATATTATTCTCTCATAGTTTGCTTGGAGCAATAATCTGGGTCCATTTAGCTGAGTTCTCTGCTCAGGATCTCATCAGGCTGATAACTGTTTGTCTGCAGGGGTTCTCATCTGGGTCTTGGGATCATTCTCCAGTTTGTTGGTTGTTTCAGAGTTGGTTTTTAAAAATTGATTTGCATGCTATCATTTATATACAATATGTTTTATTCGTACATATTATGTTTTATACAATCATTCTTATACATTGTGTACCATGTAATTGATTACTATTCATCAGTGCCTTTTATCACTCTGTCTCATCAAGACCCCATTGTACCTTGCTATCTTTAGAGGAAAAAATGGTACATGGAAGCACAGGGTAATGAACATCTCTCTGAAAGGGCCAAAGAGAGTAAGAATAGTACATCCCCTCACTGCCCCATAGCAGTAGAAAGCATTTACAGAGCCCATAACCCAACCCCATGGTGTCTGGAGAGCCCCCATCAACAGTAACAGGTTCATTTGTTCGTTGCTGACACACAGTTATGGTACCAACAATGGGGTTTATTAGGGAAAGAAGTTCGAAAGTGGAGGAGGCAAAGAATATTACAATATCACTGAAAATTAGTACAGGTTTTAGCCCAACAGTCCCAAGTCATAATTCCTCAGTTAGTTGAGGCTCTGGTTTCAATTCCGTAACCAGCTTTTCCTTCTATCATCAAAGAAAAGAACAGCAAAATCCAGCTGTGGCCAGCACAAATTCAAGAAGCCTCAGGTCACATTTTGCCACCATTTTTCCACAGTAATGCCACAGTCTATCCACTATCAGAATTCATTCTCACCAGGGTCTTGCTGCCAAAAGCCTTGTTTGCCTCAAGTCTTGCTGCTTAGTGTGGAAAGCACTCTTTCATTTATCCTAGTCCCACAGTTGATGCTGATTTACAAGACCATGTGCCCTCAGTTAAGGTAGCTGGAGAACAGAGGCTAAATGGCAAGTATGCCCTCCACCCTGCCCCCGCTAACTTTTAGGCTAATTCCACACTTGCCTATTTCATCCATCCACTGATTGCTACTGTCCTTGTAATTCTCCCTTTTGCTTTCCTATCTTTTCCCTTCCTCTCACCCTTTGAACAGTTGTACATATCCTGTATAACTATATTTGCAAGAGTCTATTGTCCTATGCCAATTTTCCCCCCCCTCTTTTTTCTAACTATAGCCTAAGCATCACTCTAGCTCCTAGATGCTAAATGTAGATTCTTGCCAAGTGGTTCCCTCCTTTAAAAAAAAAATTAAATAAATAAAAAATGTGGTTTGCTTTATTATTGTGGATCTCTCTTTTTTTTAAAGGAGACTCACCTAATTAGGCCAGACCCACCTTGCAGTTCTCTTCTAATGAACTCAAAGCCAAATGTTTAGAAATCTCAGTATATGAGTAATATGCTATCATGTTCATTGATCCAACTCCTATTCAAGTTTGTTTTGTTGGTCATGTACATTAGAGGGCAGGAATCTGGGAAACAATCTTAGACTTCTATCTGTTACAAATATCTTTTAATACTCAATAATATTTGACGATTATGATAGTTAAGTGGTCTAGTGGTAAGAAACTGCATTGCAATCTCAAAGGCATATAGTTCAAATCTACCATTGTTCCATGGGAGAAGGATAAGCAGTCTCTTCCTCTGTAGTTTACCACCTCTGCAAACCTGCTTGGATGGTCAGCTATCAGCACTTCTGACTTCACAGCACACAACAACAACAGATATCTTTTAATTACTCATTATGATTTTACTGTTATGCAAGCTAGGTGGAAAGGACTGAAATCATCATGAGGAAAAGAAAGTTTTATTAAATATATTTGCGTGACTAAAAGGAAGGTTCAGCAGGTTTAGAAAGTGAAACTTCAGGATTTGAGTTCTCATTGATGGATAGAGTTTGAGAAATAGCTCTATCTCTTGAGGGAATATTTTGTTTTCATTGGTGCAGTTTTCCACCTTTGTTGAATGGATCTTTCATCTTCTAGTGTTATATATGTGGTGGCGATTAATTTTTAAATGAAACTGAAGGTACTGATAACAGACATTCTGTTTTGCTTTTTGTTCCTGATATGTACATTGTTCTAACTAGACAAAGATACCTATTCAGCATTCAAGCAAAAAGCTCAAGAGTAACTTCTCAACATGCAGGGAAGTGAAAATAAAGGATAGGTATAACTGAATTAAAAAGCTAAACTGCATAAAAGGTGTCCTCATAGGAAAAACTAAAACTGATAGTAATGGTTATCTATTCCTGAAATTGTGATATAGGCTATAAGTATTTAATGTCCCATGGATTACTAAAAAGATTACTTATCTGTCTTGAAGAAAATGCTCTTTAGAGTAAGAATGGTGTGTAGATCACCCTTTATTTACCTGAGGGCTGTTTTGATTTAGCTTTTAAGGTGGACTAGATTTATCTGCTGACAGAATTGGATAATACTCAGAATTTCTCTACTAACAGTAGAGTGAGAGATGGTTGCAGGTGACATTTCCTTAAGAAAGTGAAGTGCAGAGGGTAAGTATTTGGGGAAGGGGTCCTTCTCAGTTACTGAGAAAGTTTGAAGGAGGAATAAAGTAATTTTCATCTCAAGTCAGACTCATGGACATTTTCATGGATGTAATCTTTATGAAGAACACAGAGTCTGGATTGGGGGAAGACACATTAAAATCCTGTTAATATTCAGATAGCACAACCTTGCTTGCTGAAAGTGATACAGACTTGAAGCACTTACTGATGAAGATCAAACACTACACCCTTCAGTATGGTTTATATCCCAGCATAAATAACATAGAAATCCTTACAACTGGACTAAAAGAAACATTCTAGTAGAGAGAGAAAAGATTGAATTTGTCAAGGATTTCATTTTACTTGGTTACACAATCAATGCCCTTGGACTCAGCAACCAAGAATAAATACGAGCTTCTCTGGCAATGAGCTCAGGTTCTAGTCTGTTAAAAGCATTGAGTAAAACAAAAACATTTCCCTGATTTGTTCTCAATTAAAGATTACTATTTAAACTTTCTTATTCAATTTGCTTTAAAATGTTCTTGCTCTGATCTAAGTCCTGCAGGTGTAAACGAAGAAGCCATTGAAAAGTTATTAGAATGTATTTTAAAATGGGGTGAAGAATAAATATGTTGTATGGCAGTGAGAAAATATGTTACAAAAGACTTCTTTATGTTGTTGCAAAGCAAAGATATCACTTTGAGGACTAACGTGTGTCTGGCCCAATCCATGGCATTTTCATGCACCTAATAGGCATGAAAAGCAGACTGAGAATAAGAAGGTTCAAAGAATTGATGCGTTTGAATTATGGTGTTGGTGAAAAGTACTGAATAAACTATAGACTAATGTTGTTGTTGTAATGTGCTGTCGAGTTGCCTGTGACTCATAGCTATCCTAAGCACAATAGCTCTGAACCCTGCCTCTTTCTGAGCCACTTTCACTGTCTCTTATCCCCATTATTCCAGTTACTATGACAATTCATCTTATCCAGGCTCTTGCCCTCTTTTTTATTATTTTTTAATTTTTATTACTTTTTATTGTATGTACTGTCAAATCAGATCTGACTGGTACGGTAGGAGATTGTCTTTCCTACTCCAGCAAAGCGTCTGGTGGATTTGAACCAGGCACCTCTGGGATTGCAGTGCAGCTTCTTGCCACTAGGCCACCAGAGCTCCTGGTCTTCCTCTCTTGTGCTGTCCCTCCACCCTTGTTGTTGTTATGTGCCATCGAGTCGCTTGCGACTCATAGCGACCCTATGTACAACAGCCTTAAACTCTGCTCTGTCCTGTGCCAATCGCACTGTCTCCGACACTCCCATCCCGATTATCCCAGTCACTGAATCAATCCACCTCATAGAGGCCTCCACCCTTACAAGCATGATATCCAAGGACTGGTCCCTTCTGGAAACATACCCGAAATATGTGAGACAGAGATTCAAAATCCTCGCCTTTAAGGGGTAACTTGGTTTCAAAATCTCCAGGACAAGCCTGTTTGTTCTCTTTTCAGTATTCTTCTCCAGCACCACAACTCAAAG